TGTTAAGAAACAGCAGGTGTACCTATTCAACTAAAGACCACTTTATGGATTTTTCACATTGGTCGGAATTATGAACAATTGCAATACAAAAACACCCCATATATAAAATTGTATTGTTGTTCTACATTACCAATTTTGAGAATTCGTTATAAATAAATCTGAAATGTTATTTGATATATAAATAGCGGTTGTGTCCAACCAAACACTCGCGTAGCGCCTCAAGTTATAAACGTGCTGTATAACAATAGATATTGTAAGATAAGAGATTAAACAAGGGTGCCATAGTCACAAAATACGCCCGTTTACGAAAAAGCTTTAGATGGAGATGGGGGCATTATGGATAAGTGTTATCTAGCAAGCAAGTTTTTATTCTTGGCACTGTGTTGTTAAATGAACCTTAAAACAAATCAATAGGGAAGATATGCACAGAATGTGTGACCTTGACCTTGGTCGCAGGGACCTGAATTTTATGCACGCCACTCAGCCTCACAATGATGAACATTTGTGCCAAATTATATTGAAATCCCTCTATGCATGTAGAAGTTTTGCTCCAGACAAGTGTTTTTCTATGAGCTCTAACTGTGACCTTCACCTTTGACCTAGAGACTTGGTTTATGTGCAGGGCACTACGTCTCATGGTGGTGAACAATTCTATAAAAGTAACATTAAAATTCCTCCATGCATGTAGAAAATATGCTCCGGACAACATCTGGATATTTAATCATATCCAGTGACCTTGACCTTGCAAATATTAACCTAAATTAAATGTGTAACACCTGTAGTCATGATAGTTACCATTTGTGCTACAATCCATCAATAAATGATGACTAAATGGTCCCTATAACCATCTTCAAATTTTTATCTGAACTTTGACCTCTATGTGTAACCTTGACTTTGGTCGCAGGGATCTGAATTTTGCATGCGGACACTCAGCCTCACAATGGTGAACATTTGTGCCAAGTTATATTGAAAACCCCCTATGAATGTAGAAGTTTTGCTCCGGACTAGCGTTTTTCAATGAGCTCTAAGTGTGACCTTGACCTTTGACCTGGATCATGCATGGAGCAATAATATATCATGGTGGTGAACATTTCCATAAAGTATTATAAAAATTTCTTCTATACATGTAGGAGATATGCTCCAGACAAAATCTGGATATTTCACCATCTTTAGTGACCTTGACCTTGCATATATTGACCTAAAGTACATGTGTCACATCCGTAGTCATTATAATGACCATTTGTGTTACAATCCCCTCAATAAATGATGATTAAATCTTCCCTATACACATCTTCATATTTTTATCTTTTTTTAAACGGGCGTATAAAAAGTACATGTAATTTAATAACTAAAAAAATTCTGATTTAAGATTTTATTCTAGGGAAATACATTTCATTACAATTCTTAATCTTTGAATGAGCTGAACTGATATTTACTTGAAAATCAAAATATAATTAAATTTCTATGAGAAAGTATTTACATTTGATAAGGTAATTACTGTATGATCTTTATGAACAAATACCAAGTCTACAGAACACCATAGTTATCACAGTTAAGAAATCTTGACCAATGAATGAAACATGTGTAAATAAATGTTACATTCTTTATAACATACTCAAGTCCAAGAAAGAGGATTATTTCATGCCCTTTGATTAAATTCTATTTTTAGAATTGAAAGTGAAAATAGATCAAGGGGAGTAATTGTGTAAGTCATTTATGAACAAAGTAATAACTTTGTTGTCTCCCTTTGATTAAATTCTATTTACAAAATCTGGATATTTCATCATCTTTAGTGACCTTGACCTTGTATATATTGACCTAAATTATATGTATCACAGCCATAGTCTTGATAATGACCATTTGTGTTACAATCCCTCAATAAATGATGACTAAATGGTCCATATACACATCTTCATATTTTTATCTGAACTTTGACCTCTATGTGTGACCTTGACCTTGGCCGCAAGGACCTGAATCTTGCACGCGACACTCCGCCCTCACAATGGTGAACATTTGTGCCAAGTAATATTGAAATCCCTCTATACATGTGGAAGTTTTGCTCCGGACAAGCATTTTTTCAATGAGCTCTAAGTGTGCCCTTGACCTTTGACCTAGAGACCTGGTTCATGTGCGCGACACTGCTCCTCATAGTGGTGAACATTTATATGAAGTTTCATTAAAAATCCCTCCATACATGTAGGAGATATGCTCCGGACAAAATTGGACGAAGCCGCCCGCCCACCCGCCCGCCCGACCGCCCGCGAGGGGCGTTCCCATAATACGTCCCGTTTTTCAAACGGGCGTATAAAAAAAAAGATAAAACTTCGTTTCTGCATTCAGTCAGTCAATTTATATTGAAAAGCAAGTTTATTAATTCATAAGAGTTCCTATGGAAGGAGTTGTTATTATTAGCAGTTAATGTCATGTTGTGATAGTTAATTTTATTTTGATTCGTAAAAATCAAGTAAACTAATATGTTGTTATATTTGTGTTTAATTTATGTAAAAAGCATGTGCATTGTGATATTATTTTCACGAAATTGCATGCTCAGTTTAACAGCTTGTCCCTTAGCTTAATTGGCAATACTAAAACCCGGATTTCGAATATCGTTGTGGGCTACATTGATGCCGTATTCTTTTTCATTCATTTATATATTTTCAAAATGTTCCTACAAGAAGAACGTTCACCTGCAAATGAGTATTAAGATTGGTAATGGAACTGTTGTAAACGATTGTCCTATTGATTTTATCCATAGACGTTTATCTCAACCTCCAGGTCTCCAGAGTCAACCCAACTACAGACTTTTATAGAGTAATAATATCTGTCATATTTTGCGGTTCGGATCGGAATATCCGCCCCGAGGTGACCCGCCCATGGGCGGGTGACCGAGGGACGGATATTCCGATCCGAACCGCAAACATATGTCAGATATTTTTTCTTGCATATTCTACCATATTCCATTATATTTTAAATTCTTTATCTTTATTTTCAATGAAAATTTATATCATTACAACCGTAACTACTTTCATTCAACAGCGTATGAATTACAAAATCATTCATAACGGTAAAATGACGTCATCTTTATCGTGCCATTGCACAGCACGCGACTTATCTGGAACCCCCCATGCCAGATGAAACTTCCAGCATGGGTAAAACTAACGGAAACGCCAGTCTGATATGCAAGAATAGATATGTTGGGAAATATGTTGTCATTTAGAACTGTTCATTATTGAAGAGAAAATGTGTAGCCGGCCGGATAGCTCAGTTGATCTTCTGACAGTCATGGGTTCGAGTCATTGTCAAGCAGTTTCAGTACACATCTTCTGATTAGTATTTAGGTGCAAAACTTGATCTTTTTTTTGGCGTCGCCTTTGATGCTTTGCATCAATGCTTTTCTTATATACTATTGTATTCTTTAGGGACAATTGAATATCGGACAATTGAAAAGAAATTGGTTATTAAGTTTTGTTACCTTCTGACAAATCCAAGTGTTTCTTTAGTTGTATTTTTCTGTCGGCCTGAAATGTCAATCAGCTTTGATAAAACTTTTGAGAGTTATTAAAAATAATGTGAAAAAGGAAAATTTATAACATAAAACACTTTTGCTTTCAAAACGTTTTCGGTTACAATTAAAACAAAAATTTACCATTAAATTTTTTATTATAAATTGATCACTGGCTCATTATGTATAATTTTCAAAAAGAAAGTATGCAAATTACATAGATATCTAAAAAAGCTTACCGGACCAGACATGCTCTGGACTGAGCCCAAACACCCTTTCCCTCCGGTCAATCCAAATAAATTGCTGAGAATCAGCTTCATCACATGGACAGGGGGGGAATGATATGGCTCCTCTATTCATCTCATAAATGGTTATTGTTGCCTTCAAGGCACCAGCAATCAACATGTACGTAATTGGACCTGTAAATAAATTATTATTATTCACATTTATATCGGTTCAAGATTACAACTACTCAATATATAAACTCATACAGCTATGATTTTAATCATAAATAATTATCATATCACTGGATAAATACCATGTAAATAATTGGATACAGAAAGACAATGGCTTTAAGTCAAAAAAGTATGCTAATAATCATAATGCAAAGATAAGGAATTTCAAAAAGCATAATTATCAAAATATATATTGTGGAAATGCTAAATTACCCCTCATCATGTCTGTCAATACTGAAAGAGCTTCCTCTGTAAAAAAGTCTTTAATGGTTGGTGCCGAACTTTCGAATCTCTTCATTGCCAGTTTTATTTCATACAAGGACGAATCCATTTCTTCATATTAAAAAAGTAAGGAAGAATGTATATTAAAAAGGAAATAATTTGAACTTGGCATGATTTCAGATTTTGGGAAGAAAATAAAAAAAACCCTTTTTAAAAAGGAATAAACGGTTTTTTATAATAAAATGCCCCTTAATTTATGCATTTTAAATAAGGCCCAAAAACATTTTTTATTTTGACCGAGGTTAAAAATAAAATTTTCTGCTTTTTAAAAACAACGTAAAAAATTTTAATCATTAGCTCGAAAACAAAATTTCTTTTCTCTATTTACTTGCGCCCTTTAATGGTTATATGCTCAGTTGAAATTTAAAAACACAGTAGTCCTGGCCAGGTTTGGGAAAAACTCATGTAGAAAATTCCCCCTATGTTGTTTAAAATTTTTTCCCCAGGGCCCATATCATAGGTCCCTGTACCTTTTTAAAAAAAGACGTCGGGGAACAAAATTAATATTTCTTTTTATACGGGGCCTTTTATTTGGATATTAAAGTTTAAAAAAAACTTTGGTTTTGTTACTTTCCAAATATCGCCCAAAAACGGGAAACAAAAAAAACCAAAGTTTTCCCAAGTTTTTTCATTTTTCCCCAAAAATTTTTTTTTTTTTAAACCAAACCCCCCCGGTTTTTTTTTTTAATAAAAATTTATTTTTCCAAATTGTCAATATTTTTTATAAAAAAGGTAAAACTTGTTTTATATCTTTTTTCGAAAGAAATTTGTAATGCCAATTTAAAAATTACTTTAAACTTTGGGTAATTATCCCTTAAATTTTTACAAACACCTATACATCAAATACATGTCCCTTTTTTTGAAAAATCTGCCCCCAGGCGGGGAATCAAATTAAGGTTTTGGAAAACCCAAAAAAAGCTGCAATGTGTCAAATTTTCGGCCCAATTTGGCCCAAATATTTCACAATGTATGATATGCATCCATCAATATCATTCTGGAAACAAATCAATTAAGTATAAATGTCGAGTTAAATGCACATTTGGTTTCAGAAACAATACATTTTATGGTAGATTTGCAAACATATGCTTTATAAAATGTAAGATGCAATTGCTTATGACATGTTGAAAGTAGTTGCATGTGTATAAATTTGCAGGAAGTGAAAGAAGGTGTCTTGACCTTCATACAAAATACTTCATAAAAAAGCTCTGCTAAATGAAAGTGCTTATGAATAACTTTATGGAAATTGGAACATGACAAACAAGGAGTATAAAATGTCAGAACATCTAGACTTAATGAACTATACAGATTACAAGATCAATTAACAATAATTAACATATTAACGTCTAAAAGATTAATTTCATAAATGATCTATCAATAAGGATAACTGGCGTTATTGTATTATAACACATTAGTCTGATTACTAATGTGATGCAGCATAATCTTCAGTCATTTAACATTATCTTAAATATTTTACCTTATTTAATAGCTGTTGGATTGTGGACCCCGAACCTGTTTCTTCAAGTCTGATTTCACTCAACTTCAATTACAATTTAAATACAAAAGATGCTTTTATTCATATTTCACCTGCAGTAATGTTACATGACATGACTATGTGCTTGTTCTTTTATAGAATATTTTGAAGCATTTCCTTCAAAAACACAGTGTATTATGAAATTTTATAGATATTTTACAGACAATAGATGGCTGTTTGGAAATATAAAGAGGGTTTCTATTGCATGTTTACCCGTTAATATAAAGCCATACATTATAGTCAATCAAAAATCAATTATAACAAAATGTAGTATAGCAAACTTTCTTTCTGTGGAAAAAAGAATGGTTTTGTTATAAAATTATAATATTGATACTAACCGTTAATATAGAACTTTATACAGTCTAACTCACCCATGCGACCACGTGTATTAAACGACATTTGTCTTAAACGACCACTTTAAATGCCCCCCGATCATTTTCCCTCTATATCTTTAATGTATTAAGCGACTTTTGCTCAACGCGACCAGCGACCTCTAATGAGTCACCTAATTGAGATCAATCTTTTCATTAAACGACCACTTTTACCTGTCAAGTAGTTGTGTTTTTAGAGAATGCCACCTCGTAATGTCACAAGTGTCAACAATCAAAACACAATAAATAAACGTGTGAAAAACTCTATTTCCCACACCGTTTTAGCGTATGCAAATGAAGTTAAGTATACGCTTGACGTGTATTATCCAATAATATCGGATAAACAATGCAACGCTCCGCCCCTACTGAGATGGTGTATACACTTCGCTTGTTGACATTTAGACTGCATCGAATTGACCTTGAACTTGATCAGCAATTAAATTAATTGTAACAATTAGATGTAGTTTGTTTATTTCAAATGAAAAAATGCACAACAAAATACATCATCACTAATAGCGTTTTCGTGTTGGAGACAAAGAAAAACAATGGAGAAGTTAAAAAATTCTGGAAAAAATGTCAAACATGTACGTAATGGATCAAAACTGTTTTGTCAATAAATATCAGAAATTTATTTTTTACATTTGCATCCATTTAGGTTAACGGAGCGTACTAATTATTCATAATTTATATAAAAATGAAGTTGAAAAACATTCCTATCGCATAAGAAAGGTGTCATTTATAAATTTTGACTTTAACATCATGTTGTCTTAAGAGACCGTTTCATTTAGCGACTGTTTTGGGTGTTTCCCTTGCGCGGTCGCTTAATACATGTTTGACTGTATACTATTGTAAAAACTATTGTATTTCTTAGCCCTAGACCTGATTTCCGGATTTTTATAAGGCTCTTTCGCAAATTGTCAATTAGCAATATTTTATGTATGAAAGCGAAATATATTTATTTTAACCATAACAATAATTTTCACTAGTAAAACATGTATAAAGTAAATACAATCATTGTATACGACAAGACATGCAGTAGTGAAAATAAATTAGCAGTAATTCCCAATAAATGCAGCATCAGTGCCAGTTCTATTTGTTTTTATTTACTTAAAGTACTATTGGTCACTAATTAAACAAGAAAATTAGTGAATTTGTTAATTCTGGCAGTTTATAAAAACTGATTCCTACTTATTTTAAAAAAATTCATTGCCATTACTGACTTTAATTATGACTGTTATGGTAATTATTTAGAAATCAAATAGGCAGTTTCTTGTATAGTTCTCTTCAATTGTTTTAAACTCAAATCAGTTCGAAATGTAATACAAATCTTGGTAGCAGATTTCCATGACCGGTGCTAACATATAAATGTTAGAGAAATTCAATATCTGTCAGGAAAAGATTAATCATCTTTCATTTACCTCTTCATGTTTTAACTCGTCTATGTTTATATCTACTTCTCCAATATCTTGCCCCACTTCCTTCACTTTCCTATCTGTTCCTATACTTTGCCACTGTGTTACAACAATTAAAATTCAGGTATAAAATTTAATCTTTTGATTACATACATGGAATTGGAACAAAATGCGCGATGGTGAATACAATACATGCACAACTTATTTTAGATTTGACCGCAAAATAATATAATCTTTAGAACTAATGAAAGTGTAAATAGTTAAACTGGCAGTCAGTCTTTAATCAATACCAGTATTTTTTTCTTGTAATAAATTCAGTGTCAACAATAGTTACTTTATTTTTTATTACAACAACAAGAACAACTTTTCTTCGTCAATATCATAACTGAATGCAGTGATTAAACAATGATGATGAAACTTCAAAGCAGTTTGTCTGATAACATGTCAAATCAAACTCAGACAGAAATGTAATACCCTTGCCAAGAATGTACAACTTATACAAATCTAAATGTTTTATATATGTGAGGATGTAAGTATTAACCATAAAAGCCATTATTGTTATCTCTGGTAAATGTTTGTTAGACTATTTAAGGAAAATTCTTCAACGAAAAACTCTTAAATTCACCTCGTCATGATAAATCAAATCTGCCATTTCTTCATCTTCTTTTTTCAGCATTATGCTTCTCCTCCATCATAACATCATCTACACTAAAACTTTGCAACTGCATTATAACAAAGAAAAAGTATGCCGGTTATTGTAAAAAATATATTCTATGTTAATTCATCCCAAAAATGTTCACGTAATAGGCGAATTGCGCTTCCCGGATTATGTGACTGTGAACGTTAAGTATGACAGCAACATAACTTTATTCTAACACAACAGGAAAACTCGTGTCACTGGTAAAATTGAAGTCAATCTCTTTTATTTACAGGTTATCACTGTACAGGTTCTGACCAGTACCAGTACTTGTCAACATATGCAGCATTAGTGCCAGTTCAAGATTGTTTAAAGTAATTTGACACTAGTACTTTTGTTTTGTCAGTTAGGCAGGTCTATTGAATAGTTAATTTCAATTGTTTTCAAGTCAAAATCACTTCTTAAAGTAATTCAAGTACTAGTGAAGGTTATGCGTAACTAATACTGGTAATAAAATAACATAAATTATATGGCAAGTAAAATGAAACTTTAAAAGTCCTTACTATTATGCCTATGGAATAAAGGGATTAAATGTCTAACAGGAAAAAATAATTAATGTATTTTGATTCATTTCCTTGATTTACCTCTTTGTGATTAAACTGTCTCTTCTCTCATGCTTCCCCTTTTCCAATCCAGCTAACTTTTGCAACTGTAACAGAAAATGTATGCCTATAAGCTATGAAATATTTAAAATGATTCTTAACATGATAAAAACTACAAGAATATCCTGATCATTGTTATCTTGTTTAAACAAATTTATGGAAAACATTGGGTTTTTTTTTTAAATAAAGAATCAGTGATCTCATTTATTTTATTTACGAGCCCACTTAATATGTATTGAACAACTTAACATACTGGGGGGTCCTACATATTTTACCGGGACAATCAGTTTACCGGACAAAAAATGTTTACTGTTGAAAAGTGCTTGAATTTTTTTGCTTCGATTAAAAAATCATACATTCTGAAATTGTACACACACTTTCTATTTCAAAGTAAATAACAACAAAACCACTCTCAGGTAAATATTTGTTGATTCAGTTCTTTATCTACTAACATGCCCTTTTTTAATTTTTACTAGTTTATTTCATGACCTGGTCATGCGGGGGAATAATCTGTTCTGCGCAGGACCTAATATGGAGACCCTTAATGGGTTTTTTTTTTTTTTTGAAAAAGGTTTTACTTTTAATTCTTTTCAAACGTTACCCCGCTCAAGAGACAAATCCCCCCCTAACATTTTTTTTAAAATGAAATTAAAGAGTAATTTTTTTTAAATTTTATAGTCTAAAACAAGTATCTCGTTTTTTGTCCTTTTTCAAAAAAAGTGCCAATTAAAAAAAAAAAAATATAAAAGGGAAAAGGGGGTTTCGGCCCCTGGAAAAGGGAAAATCTACATGGAAAAAATAAATAAAATTAATTTTAAAAAAAGTTTTTTTAAAAAATGCTAAAATTTTATACCAAAAAGGGAACCCGTAAAGAAAAAAGAACAGGAAAATTTTTCCCTTTGAAATTTTCAAAATGTGGTTTTGGGACTTTAAAAAAGGGTCATTGAAGGAATTTTAAAAAAACGTTTTTTTTTGGGGTTTAAAATTTTTAAATTTAAGTTAAAACCCTTTTTTAAATTTGGGTCTTCATAACAGGCATGGCTTTACGTGTTTTATTTTTAAATGAAAAAACTGGGTTTTTTTTCAAATATTTAAAAACCTTTAAACCAAATTTAATTTAAAGGTAAATTTCCCCCCCCCCCCTTTTGGTTTTTTCAAAGATTTAAAATTTTAATTTAAAGATTCAAAAAATTTTTAAAAAACAATGTTTCCCGTAAAAATTTAAATTTTTTTTAAAAACGAATTTTTTTTTTTTCTTATAAAAGCCCCACTTTTTAAAAAAAAAATTTTTTTCCCCGGTCAAAAGTTTTTAATTTTATTTTTGGGTAAAGGAAAAGGTTTTTCGTGATTTTAAAAACCCAAAAAATTTTTTGGGGTTTTTAAAAAACTTTTTTTTTTTAAATTAATTTTAAAAAAAAAAGTTTAAAAAGAAAAAAATCCCCCTTTATATTTTTTTTTGGGGTTTTGTTAAGGGCCCCCCGTTTTTAGTGTAAAAAAAAATATTTAATTTTCAAAAATGTATAGGGTATTTTTAAACTAAAATTTTGGAAAAATAAAAATGGCCGACTTTGTGATAACACAAAACTCCCCAAAAAGGATATCACGTTAAATAATTTTAGTTAATAAGAATAATTTGAATTTTCAGTCATATCAATAATAACAACCCTAAAACCAAATAAACTTTATAAAAAAACATGAACATGAATAAGGGCTTGGTCGGGTAATTAATATGATCGGGACGATCGAGTTGATCTGATCGGCGGTGAGAACATCGCATTAAAAGTGATCAGTCCGTATCCAAAAAAATGCTGATTTTCTCAGGATATCTAAGATATCAGACACCCTGCTCTTTCACCATATGCAATAATCTCCCTGCATGAAATCTTTTACTCGGGCTTTGAGTGCACTCTGGTCTTTATGAAACATAAAAGGCTATTCATGTTTTGATCGTCTATAAATATGTTTCCTATGGCTTTTAATTTGTGGTTTTGAAGAGAAAAAAACAACAATAACTAAAGTGCAATAAAATGTACAAAATAAACAAAATAAAGTGATTTAAACAAGAATAACCTCATCCATAGTTGTTGTTGATACATAATTTATCGGCTGACAGCCTTCTTGAATTTTCTGTAAAAATAGTTTTGCATGTACTTACAAGATCATTTCAGAGCATTCAGAAATTAAAATTATGCATAGATATACAAGAAATTGAGTGAAGTTAGAGATGACTTTTTTCATTTAATTCACAAATGTCTTACTTGGTTTAGTTAAATAATAAATACCATATACATAGATCTACGGAATTCAAGAAAATAAATCCTTGTAGATTATTTTGGCTTTATTTCTGAATGTTATAAATTCCTTAAGTACCTCTGCGCAGTAGCTCCTGAAACATTCAAGAACTTCTTTTATTTGAGTGATTGAAATCATCCGCCCTTTTCCATCAGCTGCAATAAGAGGGTTATAGCTAATACACTATGTACATGTGTGTCAAATGAAGGTAAATTCTAATGAAAAAAAATCTATACTTTCTTCATTATTTTGCTCTGATAAACACGTATTGGAAAGTTCTTTATTCGCTATTATTCAAAATCTAATTGTATATTTATTTCAAAAATTAATACTTACGTCCTTTGGCAGAGTGCGAGCAGAAAGGAACTTCTTTTGGCCAGTACTCTGGTTTCTGCGTTTGGTGGTATGTGCCACGTTCTTTAGCACCTGTGTATAATTGAAAGATGCACAGATTCATATAAATAGTGAACATATAAAGTTAGTACACTTATAATAAAAACAATAAAATATGATGCTAAATGTTATTATAAGTTTACGGCTAGCTGGTATTCCATAGTTAAGTGATGCTAGTTTATCTCAGATGAATAAAATTCGACAAAGAAAAGTGGGCATTATTCTAGCAGCCATTTTGAAATGGCACCCTCTTATAACAAAATAATAAAAGTTTACCAAGTTTTATATGAATAGCTTATATAGGTTTCAGAACACGCATGAAAAATAACACATCGCCGGTGCCTGATTTGAGAGTCATTTTCGAAAAGTGTAGCTCACATGGTTCGAGAGTATATTTAAACCATACAATAGAAGCTTACAGAAGTTAATTGATAGGTTTCTTGCTATAATTTTTGCAAGCATGGTGTCGAAAGAAATTATATAATCAGATCCATAACAATAAATGTTTACATGTCCAAAGAAATTAGTTAGGCGTATTGACTGGAAGGACGCATATTTTTTTCTTATCCGATACAAAGTGAATCAAAGAATTATGCATGCACAAAATTAATGGATGTTATTGCATTCAATTAAAGATAACAAACCTTGAAACAGAGTCTGGAGTAAATTTTTCTGCAAAGTGTGCTATGGAGATCTTCAAAGGATAGACCAAACACGTCTATATTTCTGAGATCTACTGTCTTACAGGATTCTAATAAAATAACATGTTGTTAAAGGTTATAATCTATATCTTATGAAATATTTAAAAAAAATTATAAACAGTAAAATTATATTGGTTCCATTATTTTATGGCTGATTCCCGAAAAAGTTGTAATAGAATGTCACTATTATTTATTACACATAAAAAATGTACGTAAAAAAATAAAATGTTCCGGAACAAAATATTTTTTGCTATTTTAAATAGGGTTTTATCCGTTTATCAATGACTTTGTGCATGCGCCACTAACTTTTAGGCAGCTTATTGCCATTTTTATTTGTTTGGGTCGTCAGACCAAACAAATAATGGTAGCGAAATTTCAGAATTTGATGTTGTGAATTGCAAATGCCGAAAGTAGTCCGCTTTTTTGAAGCGGTTACTTCTCTTTATATGTACACTAATGCCGAAAAAATCAGGGGAGTGACAGGGGCATTAATTATCAAGCAAAATAGTTCCCGAATGGTCGAAAAATTCTAATATTGTTTACTTACAGATATACATGCTTAAAGTATGCTCAATGATTATTTACATCTGTCTTAAACAACAGGTTAAGCGTCGAAATAATAAGAGTTACAAAACCTAAATTAGAATAATATGGATTTCTTTAGGCCTTTTAAACATAACTTCTCCGCTGTCTTAGCAATTGAAAGGTCTGGAGTTCAAATCCCAGTTAAAGTCAACTCATTTTTTAAATTGTTTAAGTCAAATAAACATTGAATTGAATGTCAATGTTGAAATTACTCGTATAGCCAATTTACTAAAGTTAAAACACTGGAAAGCATTTGTGGCACTATACCAAAAAGTTAAAACAAATTGGTTTATAATCACACAACCTACACCTTTCTGACATTCTGAGACCCAAACAAATTCAGCGCCTTATGTGCTTTGATTAATTCATACAAGCATTTTGGAGGTATTCTTTTTTTTTAATCCAAACAATTATTTTGGCATCAGATATATAACTTTCAATACACTTAAATCAGTTGTAAACAGGCTGGGGATGCAGAAAAACGTTTATATTAATACAGGTAATATACAAATCATCGTTATCCAAAGATAGTTGGCAAAAGAATGTAATGTGGGAAATTCTAAATCGTACCTGGCACAACTGCTTTGTTTACTGATTTTTCTGCCACTTCTAGAATATCCTGACCTTTGGTGCCTTTTAAAACCTGACATAAGGTTGGTGATCCTATTAAGAAAGATTATAAGTTACTTATGCTGATATATTTGTTTAAGGAATACTGAATCAACAAGTATATATAATTGCTTTAAGGTAGATATATTCCAGTCAATTTTAGTGCCACAATATTACAAGGATGGAATTTCAAAAACATTTGAAAAGTATATTCGCACACAAAGACTTTTGTAAGCTCTCAATATCCATATGCATTTGATATTGAGTTACATGAAACTAATTTATAATTTACTTGAATGTTTAGGTTATCGATTCATGTCATACGTAAGAAAAAAAAAAAATTCTTAAAATGTTATGAAAAAAACATTATAAGAGATGCTTACTCTTATGTATACAAAGGACACTGGCAAAATATAAATTAATATTTACTTAACACGTATAGGAGAATATCCTAATTTGAGCCAATGTTCAATATTGAGCCAAACAAGAAATTAACATGATAATGTAGAAAATACCTGTAAGACACACTTGTCCATTTGGCTGGATCGTTATCAGGGCCATGATGGGTGCCCCAGGCATTTTACAAGTGTTGGCTACCTAATTGTAATAAACATGATAACAGTCATTTGGTATATTAGATGATCTTTACAGTTTTATTTATACACTTTCATGAAAATCAATATTTCTTTATAGCATGAAAACATTTCAATTATAAAAAAGACGACACAAGTATATTTACGTATTACATGTACATATACGAATATTGATAATCGTGACATATCACATAAGCATACATATTGAGTGAAAATGAATAATGAATATCTTAGCTATTATCGTTGAATTTAAAAAAATCGGGAAATTGCCATTTTTTAAAACTCTGCTAGTTATATTTATTAACTTCCAAGGCATATGAGACCAGTAATGATAACATTGAAAAGTAAAAGAATCATTATTGTAAACATTATCTTTTACCCTTCTTGTCAAGCGGTGAATTTTTCTCCTTATTTTTCGAGATGTAATCACTGTTTGATTTGTTGGGTTAACCTGTAATTGAAAGTAACATTCTTTTTATACAAACAAGAACTTCAATATGTGCCAAAAAATTATACGTAAGTCCAACTCAACCAGTAATTCGATATCATGTCTCATAAATTATTTTTATATAGGAAATTTAACGTTCTTCATGTTGTTAAATTGACTTACGATATATATGTGTATATGCATTATTATGTACAACTCGTTTTAACACGTTTAAACTCGTTTAAACTCGTACACAATTTTATTATCTCAAGATTCAGAGTGTCTGTGTTTGGAAGCTGAATTTCACTTTGTTATAATTCCAAGTGTCTGTGTTCAGAGGCACAATTTCACTGTTATAATTCAGAGTGTCTGTGTTCGGAGGCACAATTTCACTGTTATAATTCAGAGTGTCTGTGTTGGAGGCACAATTTCACTACATTATGATTCAGAGTGTCTGTGTGGGAGGCACAATTTCACTATGTTCTGATTCAGAGTGTAAGTGTGGGAGGCACAATTTCACTATGTTCTGATTCAGAGTGTAAGTGTGGGAGGCACAATTTCACTATGTTTTGATTCAGAATGTGTCTGTGTTGGAGGCACAATTTCACTATGTTATGATTCAGAATGTCTGTGTTCGGAGGCACAATTTCACTATGTTATGATTCCGATTGTCTGTGTTCGGAGGCACAATTTCACTATGTTCTGATTCAGAGTGTCTGTGTTGGAGGCACAATTTCACTATGTTATGATTCCGAGTGTCTGTGTTGGAGGCACAATTTCACTATGTTATGATTCCGAGTGTCTGTGTTCGGAGGCACAATTTCACTATGTTCTGATTCAGAGTGTCTGTGTTGGAGGCACAATTTCACTATGTTATGATTCAGAGTGTCTGTGTTGGAGGCACAATTTCACTATGTTATGATTCAGAGTGTCTGTGTTCGGAGGCACAATTTCACTATGTTATGATTCCGATTGTCTGTGTTCGGAGGCACAATTTCACTATGTTCTGATTCAGAGTGTCTGTGTTGGAGGCACAATTTCACTATGTTATGATTCTGAGTGTCTGTGTTGGAGGCACAATTTCACTGTTATGATTCAGAGTGTTTGTGTTGGAGGCACAATTTCACTATGTTATGATTCAGAGTGTCTGTGTTGGAGGCACAATTTCACTGTTATGATTCAGAGTGTTCGTGTTGGAGGCTCAATTTCACTATGTTCTGATTCAGAGTGTCTGTGTTGGAGGCACAATTTCACTATGTTATGATTCCGAGTGTCTGTGTTCGGAGGCACAATTTCACTATGTTATGATTCCGATTGTCTGTGTTCGGAGGCACAATTTCACTATGTTATGATTCAGAGTGTCTGTGTTGGAGGCACAATTTCACTATGTTATGATTCTGAGTGTCTGTGTTGGAGGCACAATTTCACTGTTATGATTCAGAGTGTTTGTGTTTGAGGCACAATTTCACTATGTTATGATTCTGAGTGTCTGTGTTGGAGGCACAATTTCACTGTTATGATTCAGTGTTTGTGTTGGAGGCTCAATTTCACTATGTTCTGATTCAGAGTATCTGTGTTGGAGGCACCAATTTCACTATGTTCTGATTCCGAGTGTCTGTGTTCGGAGGCACAATTTCACTATGTTATGATTCGATTGTCTGTGTTCGGAGGCACAATTTCACTATGTTATGATTCTGAGTGTCTGTGTTGGAGGCACAATTTCACTGTTATGATTTAGAGTGTCTGTGTTCAGAGGCACAATTTCACTATGTTCTGATTCAGAGTGTCTGTGTTCAGAGGCACAATTTCACTATGTTCTGATTCCGAGTGTCTGTGTTCGGAGGCACAATTTCACTATGTTAGAATTCCAAGTGTCATATGGAAGTAGCTTTTCATTTCATAGGTAATACATCAAAGCCTCCTTTACAATTTTACAATCTTAGAATTTCAAGTGTCTTCCAAGGCACAATTTTACTATATTATTTTTTAATATATTATTAAACACATATTCATCTTCCTAAAATTTGGTGCCTTGCCCTTTAGGGTTTTTCTGAAAAACCCCTCACATGCTAAATAGGAATTTACTTCTCAGTACATGGGAAAAGTACAACCCAAAGCCTCCTTTTCCCAGCAATACAAACCCATTACTGGCAACGCTTTACTGAAATATTAAAAATATTCCAAACAATTAAATAAACACGAAACCAAATTTTGTGAAGACAAGATAACTATCAAATACAAGTTTTAAATTGCTTTTTTAAAAATATTTATTTGTTTGAAACATTATTTTACTTTAAAAATTTGAGTCTTGAACAAACTACCAGATTTCTCAGATTGATCAATGACCCAAACAACTCTTATAGACATAAGATATATTTAGACAATATTTATAAGATGAAACCTTTGAGACAAGGCCTGCAAAGGTTGTTGTCCATACACTTTTTTCCCCACTTTTTCGCAAAAATTTTTTTTTTACATTTCAAAACAATAAAAAGAATCAATACCATATGTTTGGAAAACTATACAATATTTGATGACTTTGGTAACAGCTTCTTAGAGTCATGATTCGGGCTGAAGGTAGCTGGTTTACTAAAGTATGAAAAGAAAAAGACAATTTACTTAATACAAGAAAATGATAAACAATGCTGACAACTGATATAAGGGTGGCTCGTATTCTGAATAGGAAAAGGTGTCTTTATGTCCTCATATTCCGTTAAAATAAAAGATTTTCATAATATTGTGTTTATTAAATGTTAATTCAGCAATATTGAAATGTAAAATGTGGGCTAACCATGTGTTCCCAATATTAAATAACTATTTAATACAAACTAAGCATAGACTATCAATTATTAAAGGCGAGTTAACTATTATGTTATTTCTTCTTAATTTTGACTGTTGCTTTTTGATATTTTCTGTTTCATTATATTCATTATTACACAATGTTCAATTTTAACATCATTTAAACTTAAAAACATGCTAAAGAAACAAGCTTCAGTTATCACAACCAGTCAGATACATTACTTAAAGTTATTTAATTTAATGACATTTCACAACAACACATTTTGCATGTGCAAGTTTCTATAAGTCTAAAATCACAAGGAATACATGTATTACTTACGTTGGATGTTAAATCGTATGTAATTAATTGTGTCACAGATTTACCAACCCAGTCAATAGCCTAAAACCAAAAAAATTATAATCATTTCAGAATCAATAAAATAATGTGCCAAAAAGTATCATCTGTTACTTTTTATTTTGCCATCAAAAACGAGTATAAAGGGGATATGTGTTGTTTTTTTTTACTCCAGCATCCCTTTTTTTCTGACTGATACCAGTCAAAAATCGAGGCTTTTGTGCATTAAAGTCTCATATAACAATAGCAATCACCTAGCAGGAAGCCATGCTCACCTTTGTCAAACTCATTACTGGAAGAATATTAGACTATAAGGTAACACTCAAATACAAAACCTAGTTTTTTGTAAGAAACAAAATTGAAAATTTAAATACTGATGTTATAGATCATTGAAGGTCAAGATCAACTTAAATTAATCATCATATATCATGATGTCAGTTTTGTCATAAGTGCTTTTTTGCCCATAAATAAATCAATGCCATAAGATGAATGAGAAAACTGACAGGTTAAGTAAATTTAAATAATTGAAGTCAACAATGCATTATAAAAATATGTTGGCAAAAACTAAATTTGCAGTTTGCATACCTTCCTCTCAAACACATCCTCTCCATAAAAAAAAACAATTTTCTCTTATCATCTATGTAACGTAATGGTGTCTGCAAGAATTGGTGATGACGTGCATGATCTGTTTCTGAAACTGCAACAGTTACATAAAAACATTCTTAATACACAGAAGAAAAAAAATCTATATGTTCTT